TTCCGGAAAATTTTGAATGTTGTTGTTTATACCTCTAGTAATTCTGACTGAATCAGCCATTGCATACAATACACTCTTTTTTTTTTACAATCCAAAAATCTGAAGAAAAAAAAATTCTTTTAACAACTGTTAAACCGTATTGAACATCTAACAAAAATGATTTTATATTATATGAATTTTCATAATCTACCTAATCTTAAACATTAAAAGAAAATCACAAAAGAAAGGGACAAAAAATACAAAATCATAAATGTATGATGAATATTAAAACAAAATCACATAAATAATTCATAAAATCGTGATATATAAAATCAGAACTAACCTTGCCACCACGAAATCTGCTTTAATAATAATCCTTTATGAGCTCGAAAATCTGCTTGAATCCTTGATAATCAATGGCTTTGATGAAGAATCTAGAAATTTTGATGAAAAAAACTTGAAAATTTGGAATAATCTGAAATGTTTGAATGGATTTAAGTTTTACATTTCTTGGAGTTGTACATGTAATTATTAATTTTTTTTTCTTTTTTCATTAAATGATTATTGTACCATGATAATCTGAAAATTTTGAATGGATTTAAGTTTTACATTTCTCGGAACTGTACATGTAATTATTAATTTCTTTTTTCATTAAATGGTTATTGGACCATGTTTTGGTCCAATAAATGAGTTTTTATAAATACATTAATTAATAATAATAATATATATACTAAAATCTAAAATACACAAATTTAATAAAACTAAAATCTAAAATACGTAAAATTAATAACATATTGTTATTCTGCCATTTTCACGAAAAAAATTAAATTAATATTATTTTAATTAATTATGTTCTTAAAGTTATCTTAATCGCTAAATTTCCCATGTTTATTTGATAGCATAGGACATGTACAAAAATGAAAAATTGTGCCAAATATAAACGGGTCAAAAGCCCAAAACTGAATTACGCCCAATGGTGGCCCAGGTGTACATAACCAGACTTGGGCCCAATAATTTTTCTCCCTTTCTTATTTGTTTTTAGGAAAATTTTCAAAATGTCAATATTTTAACATTTAAAGAGTTCATTAACAACACTTTTAATATTTAATAAAAATATCGAAATATAAATTTATTATGTATCTTCTTTATATTCTTTTTTTTTATTTATTTAAAGAATACAATTTTTATATAAGATTGGAGAAAATTAGGGGAGATAAATTATTTTTAAAAAGGAACAAATGCTAATAGTCTCATTACTTACAATTTATCAAAATACATCAACTCTCATCTTATTCTTCTTTTTTTTTTCCCTAAAAACACACCCTTCTCCATTGTTCTAAAATATTCAATATCCATTTTTCTTAATCTTTTTTTTTTGTTTCTGAACACTTTTATTTATCAAAATGAATATTCAATTTTCACTAATTATTGTTATGAAAATCACGGAATCAAAGAAGTACCACATCTATAAAATTTCAATATCAATTTTTCAATAATTATTGTTATGAAAATCATATAATCAAAAAATTTAATATTCAATTCCCACTAATTATTGTTATGAAACTTTATGATAATACATTATAGTTTTATCTATTAATTAAAAAAATTAATTTTAGAAATTTGAACACCTATAGTTTTATATGTTATTTGACATACTTTTCTCACAGTGTATTTGTTTTATTTTTTAAAATTTTGTATTCTTGCTTAAAACGTACTTATTCCAATATGTGTACTGTTTGTATTAGTATTCATTCTAGTTTTCATGTTGTATTTTGGATAATAAACTTGTATTTCTTTATTGGTTCATATTCATTCCAATATGTATGTCAAATAAATGTGTAGCTATTTAAGAAATACATGTGTACTCATATATTTTTTCACTATACATTTATTTTTCTTTTCAGAATCTTATTTCCATTTCTAAGGCGTATTCATTTCAATATGTATATTATTTGTATTTGTATACAAATACAAATAAATTAATAGAAAGTTGTTCTTCCTATAAATAAAATACATAACTATTTGACATATCTTTGTATTATTACAAATTAGGGACAAATACAAGAACCATAAACTATGCAACATGAAATGTTTAATAAATACAAATATTGATAGTATACGTAGCGATTTGAATGAAAATTGAGAAAGAATACCAAATTCTAAAAAAGAAGTATAAATAGAAAACAAACTAATAGAAAATTGTTTGACAACTATTCGGTCTTTCGTCATCTTTTTCAAGATCCCCATAAGTAGACGAAGATTCTACATTGCGTTATGAAATTGAGGAAGGTTTTGCACACCAATTGGGTCTTCTAAATGTTTTGACCCTCTTTCTTCCCTCATTTTAGCAGCAGATCATACAATATTCGCTATTTCTTGAGCAATAAATAAATAAATAAAAGAATGAGAAATCACTAGAAATTGATTGATTAAGATGCATACCTCTAGTAAGCCTCTTGGATTCAACCATTGGAGAGTAAACCCTAATGAAGATTGAAAAAAATAAACGACTTTTTAAGATTTAAACAAAAACAAAATTCGAAAGAAATCTGAAAATATGATAAAGATTAGGGACCATAATCAAAGGAATTCATGTTGATCCAATTTTTTATTAAAAAAAAAAACCAAAATATATGTCAGAGAATTATTAACAACTTGAATGTTGGAGGAAAATCAAAAAAGATAAATATGAGGAAGAAATAGTTTAAAATGGAAGAGAGAATTAAGAATTTGAAAAGATAAATATGAGAGAGAATGTTTTTTTTTTAAAAAAAAAAGATATATAGAATTAATTGAAAAGGAAGATAAAATAGGAAGAAAATTGGAATCCATAAAACTTTTAAAATAATGACATCTTTTTACATTATTACTAATATTTATAAAGTATAATTATTTTTACTAAATATGTTACTTTTTGTTACTAAGAAAAAAATTCATATACAACTACAACAAGAAACATAATAGGTATCCTTAACTATAGTTTGTCTATTTACATAACATAACTATAGTTTAAATTGCTATTATATTTATGATTTGTATAATTCATTCTATTTATAATTAATCATATAAAAAATCTATCTAATTATATCTAACTAATTAAGCATTAATTGAGAAATGCCTTAATTAAAGGTAATTTAGTATAATTATAATATGTTATCAAAATAAAACTTCTTCCTTTTGAGGACTATTTATGGTTTCCTTTAATCAAAGTTTATTCTGTATTAATACAAAAACAATTAATTTATTTTTGTGGCTGGAACAACGAAAACGTAAACATAAAATTTATTCATTATGAGTTGTAAAATTTTCTGACTACATTCAATGTATATGATTTCATATATTTCTTAGTTTATTTGTCTTTAATTTGAACTACTGTGTTATTGATTACGAATGTCGATTAAAATGATATTTTATATGGAGTAGTTGATTTGTTTGAAAATAATTTGTAGATGTATATAATTGGTATCGAATTCCATACTAAGGTTGTTTGTGACTGATTTTTGTCTAAACATATAATTGAGTTTTTTTTTTCCGGTTAGTTATATCATTTTTGTATATTTTACTGTTCGTTTTGTATATTAAATATATTTTATACAATTTTAAAAAAATGCACAAGTACCTTAGACCATGATCGAATCAGAAGCACACCTTAACTAAACTAAGGTCTTATTACTCTTCTAACTTATTTTTTGGTAATTTTGTGCAACTTTTTAGCTCACGTGGTATCTAATTATCTTTCACGCATCTCAATTGCGTAATGTCACGGTATGTGCCACGTAAATTAGTTCTGTTATGTTAATCATTCTGATTATTTCTCATTTTATATGAATTGTTGTTGTTTTTTATCCTCTTTAGAATGATTATTTTTATTAATTTAAATTTTGTGTATGGTTAATAATTGAAAAATCGATCTGAACTAAACCAAAATAAATAACAATCAAACCAAATAAATGAATATTATACTTGGTTAGGTTTTGTTTTAATAAATCAAAAATCGAATAAATTGATTGGTTTTGTTTTCAACCAATAACATGTAGTGTCCCATATCTTGTAAAATTGCGAATTAGTCATTTTACCTTCTCTTTGGCAATTTCATGCTTAATTTGTGTTTCGAAAATGATTTATGTGGTCCCAACCTAGTAGCTTATTGCTGAAAAACGTTGCTAGGCTAGTCGTTAGACCTTACTGTGATGTTAGCTTGTGGAGAGGCTTATGTGATACTGTTAACTGATGTGCAAAGTCTGTGATTCTTTAGAAAATTGCCCGAGTTAGGGGCTTGAGTTGACTTATGAACATATTATAATGAAAGAAATGATTTCAAATGGATTTCTCCACTATCCATATCCTAACCTTTTGATTTTGGGAATTCGATACTATTTGCAATTCTTAAAGAACTGATTATGCCTTGTGTTGTGATGCATGCAACTTTACGAGTTTCAAAAAAAAAGTATGTGTTGTGATGCATTCCTCATGATGTAGCATATCATTATTTCATGCAAATATGAAAAAGTGGAGTAGTACTGTCTTTTCAAGTAAAAAATATTGACACCTTACTTATATTATTGACCACGCTGAGCTGGCAAGTTGCTTATCTAACAATGCAACTTGAAAAAAATCTTATGTTATGTATGAAGTGAGTTGAGCTTCATGGAGATCGTGCTGGCTGTGATGATCCAACCATGGTGACTTACATTGGGTGCATTGAAGGTTGAAGTTATCTCCTCATTGGTCATCAGAAAGGTAGAAAATACAAAAGAAAACATCATGTAAAACTTTGCAATGCCAACCCCTCATGGTTATGCTTCAAGAATTCTCATTCATAGCAATATTACTAATTACTATCATTAAGCATTCTAAGTAATCTGCTCTGTGGTTAATAAATAGATCAAATTGAATTGATGTTTTGATTAATTATTTTGAAGTTGATGCTCATAGCCCCTGAACATGTTCCCAATTTGATTTTATTGCTCCGTTATCAGATTATTGGAGAGTATATGCAGCATTCAGTTGTTTGAAAGGAATGTTCTTCACCTTGACGTTCAAATATTGATTTGTTCATTTAGAATCTATAGTCATAAGGGCATGTTTGGGCTGAAAGTTCCACAGTCCTAACTAATGAAGGTGGTTCAAGCAGAGTTCTTGTCATTGGATGTGGTTAATGTTCAACATTTTATGTTACTAGGTAAGTTTGGTTCATTTGTACTTCTTCCATATTTTTGCTACTTATCAGGCATGTAACAATATGAAGAAAAAAGAAAAGTTCAAGTTTAAAAATAATTTATCAACCAAAAACATGTTTTAGCTTAATAATATGGATACATTTTACGTATGTTGCGCATGGATTTTTTAGTTGTTGCTTTTACACTTGTTGCATTGTTTCCTTGAATATCTCCATTTTTCTGTATCTTTACAAAATCTATGCTTCTTTGATCAGTCTTGTAGCTTGTGCTTCTATATTTTGAAAATCTTTACAAGCAGGTCCAACCTCCAAAGATACTATAGTTGTTCAGGTTTGTGAAAAAGATGGTTTATCAGTACTAAAATTCTGATTGAATAGGCAGCTGATAGCTCAAGAACATTATAAACTTTGGGTAGCAGATTCAATTATTCCAGTAAGTACCATCTCTATACTTATTAATTTGGTTTCGGAGTGGAAAAGATTGGAACCTATGGTAAAGGGTTGGTGATGCCAAGTAGTGAGAAAGAAACAATGTTTGGCTGGACTTTTGGAAGACGAAAGAAGATGCAAAACATAAGATTATCGCTCCCTTGTCACTTATGTTGACAAATGTTTTTGATGAAGTAGAGAAGAATTTTACATAGTTCCTCATCCCCTATTTATTTTTTGTGCACCACAAGTTTCTTGCTTCTTACATGTATAGAAGATTGGATTTATTCGTAACTATGCATCTTTTGTAAGGTTGTCTAGATTATATTTGATATTATTCTTGTAAGGTGTTATTGCCCTTCTTTTACTGTTGAAATTTATTACTTTTTTCAAAAAAGAATAGACACAACCTGTATTCTAAGATAAGCTATTAAAAAAAGAAGAGTAGCACTGAAGGTGTTGTATATCATAACAAAAGTTTAAATACAACACATGAATAGCAACTATCCATAATAAAATAAAAATAAAAAAAAAGCGCAAACAACACAAAAATCAGCTTATTACCCATCAATACTAGAGCAAGAAGAGAAGCCTAACTAACAACTTTAGACCTTATACTCGGGAGTTGTCTCTTATCCAGAATGAGAAGTCCTTTTGTGGCCTTGGGAAGTTGTTGAGACGAAAGATAAATGTTGCTAGTTTGAGAGTTCATCACCATCTTTGCTAGCCAGTCTGCAAGTTGATGCTCAAACTTGATACTAGCTAGATCTAGAATTGAAGAAGTAACTTCTATGATTCTGGTCAATCTGAGCCACTAGCCTTTTTTCCTTGAGCATTTTGATTATCAAAAGTGAATCCAGTTCCATGATGTTTTTTTTTTTTACACCATTTGCCTCCAAATCATGTTGCCTTGGCTCCTGCTATATTATGACTATAGCACTCCAGTTCCAATTACTTCCCTTTTCCTGTGGTTGAGTGTGTTCCTGTTCATGCCCATTCTCTGTTCTGTTCCTGTAGATTAACAACTTCCTCCGTCGCTTGTTCAACACTATTAAATCAACCATTTGTAATTTTTTTCAAATATCAAAAAAGTTTACTGTAAGTGGTACAATTTACATGGGAGTGACTGTTGCGCTTCTGTGAGCCCTATTAGTCTGCCTATACCAAACAACAAATGAACCCAAAATTACAAAAGTCATTATTACATATAAATAATCCCTACTAGAACTTTTATCGTAGTTGCGGGGCAATTTGGGAAGAAGAGGTACAAGGGAGGGTATGTAACTCCCTTGGTATTCTATGATAGCGGTTGTAATTTTATTCGGGTCGTACGCCTCGCTTTTATTCTTTACAGCAACCGCATAATAATAATAATCTGGTTGCTGGTTCGCCTCGAATATGCAATCCATTGAGTGTTGACTAGTCAATTCGACGTAGTCCGTTATAAATTGCTTTGTTATAGGACGTCCATCCCTCGCGATAACAGTTAAGTTGTGCCTTGCGATCCCAAAGTAAAGGTCGTCTCGGATTGCAGTGTTCACAACTCTGAGAAGATATTTCTTCCCAATATCTACTACAATCCTAAAAGTTCCTGTCCATTTTATTTTTTTTAATTAATAAAAGATGTTAAAAATCAAACAGAAAAGTCCAACCAAAAAAAACTGATTTTTAATTTCAATACATAATAACAACTAATGCATCTTTCTTTTATCAAATTTTAAAGGCCCTTCCACCATTACTTGGAAAAAAGGCCAGTGTATTTTCCTTGACTATTTAAAGAGATCGGATATGAAGATTTTGATATAAATAAATGGAACTGAACTAATTATGCATACCATTCTTTGAACAAGGGTACAAGTCACCAGGTTGTCCATTAATCGTGAAAGCGTCCGATTTTATGTCCCTGCCTGAGTCGATATAGTCGACGAAGACCTCCTTGACATCCTTCCTCCACCATTCACCTGTGAAGAATCAATCAAACATATATATGTTAGTAAAAAGACTAGTGATTTTAAAATAATTCGAATGTTGTTATACCTAAAATGATGGGAATATCGACATGATCATCGGGTTCTGGATGGACAATGAAAGCGCCATGAACAGTGGCGCGTTGCCAGATGTTCATGGCATGCCACCATAGCGTCCCTTCGTCGTCGTCAGATATTGTTATATTTTTTCTGACGGTAGCTCCTGCCTCAACTAGCCACTCCACTTGATCAGACTTCACGTGTCTACCAACACGCCTACAACTTCATTTTTACAACAGTCACCAAAAGTAACAAATGACGTAAACAAACAATGATAAGTAGAATCTTTGTACCAAAACATCGTAACGTTGTCCTTCCCTCTGTTTTCAACGTCTAGGGACAACGTTTCTCCAGCAAGCGCATATATGGTAGGCCCTGGGAATCGTCCGTTGACAGTAAGAATCTTCTTCGATCGGCAAAGCCTTTCAAAAGAAGTTCCTTCAATCTGTTGATGTATTAACTGATTAGTAGACAACACAAATGATAAACTTTAACGTTGCAAATATAATACTTACAACGAAATGAAAAATATTTGTTGAAGCGGTGTACTGAACCGCCAAAAATAGGATTAGTACCAAGCTACTGTTGGCGTTCATGGCCTGGTAATTTTGGAATGCCATTTTTTCTTGAGAAAAAGATGAAGAAGATCGAAGGCCACTATTCTTTCAAGAATATTGTAATCAGTTTAAAATCTTTACAGTATATTAACAAATGAAAGTGGAGAAATTTCTATCTATTATATAGAGGATATTTATTCATATCACTAAACTTTAATTTGAATACCAAGTCAAATAAATTGGTTAAGGGTTATAAGGGTAAAATCATATTACCCTCTGTCTATTCACATGCACTAAACTTTAATTCTTCCCAATTTGAATAGAAGTTATATAAATTGGTAAGGGATTATAAGGGTAAAATCGTTTTACCCTCTTATCTATAAATATGCACTATACTTTAATTCTTCCCAATTTGAATACAAGTTCAATAAATTGGTTAACCCTCATATGTACTATAATTTAATTCTTCCCAATTTAAATACAAGTTAAATAAAATGGTTAAGGGTTATAAGATATCACTTTTTAGGAAAAAGAAGAGATATAGAGTAAAAATTAAATCCAAACAATTATAGCTAATTGTTAGCCATCACTATCATGCATATTAATTGTTATATTCTCTCCAATTCTTTGATATCCTCTACATTCATGATACATAAGAAACCATTAATAAATGTAGGTAATACGAGTGAAGATGTTAAATTTTGAAGTTTTTTTCATTTTAGAGTATGAAATTTTACAAAAAAAATAAAATCTTTTTTAACATTTGATGCTCCTGTTGTAATTTTACAAAATCTCAAAAATTAATATTTACTTATAGCACATTTTATATTATTCTAATTACGACAATACTATAAAATACAATTATATTTTATAGTATTGTCATGATTAAAATAGCATAATCACATTTTATAATATCCGCTTTAATCTTAATCACATTTTATAATATCTAATAACCAAATACATGTTATAAAATTCTCTTTACTTTGTCAATTTTATGATGTGAACTTTACGAAAATAGTTAATCAAATTCACTGATTACACAAATGATATACTCTAACACAATATTGGATTATAAGCACAATCTCACTCTCAAACCTTGTTTGTTCATTTTACTAGAAATGTAAGATGTATGCCTGCACTTTAGAAGCTAACAAGTTTAGAAGAAAAGAGACGTTTCTCTTGCCTTTTATGCTAGTAACTATAACACAAACATCAACATCTACAACTTTAGATGTCAATGGCCTCAACAGGCAACAAGCACCAGCAAGTTTTTCAACAAAATCAGATAGTCTCAAAATTTTCAATAACATTCTACTAAATTTGATGGTAACAAGAAAAACAGAAAATGGTCGGTTACAACGAGCCATCAAACAACCAAACGAAAAGTTTTCATCCTTGTAAACACGACTCAATAAAAGAAACCAAGAACTTTTCCACCAACATTCTTTCTCCTAGCCTCTTCATGGTCCATGATACCAGCTGAGGTAGTCAGCACAATGTACCCGAACTGCAAGTTGAAAATCAATATGCAAAGATCAAAACATAAAATAGACACAGTAAAACTGACAAGTAGTACGAGTTTTACTCCATCTCTGATAGCAGAAAATGTCTGCAACTTCATTTGCTTAGTTGAAAATCAATATGCAAAGATCAAAACATTAAATAGACACAGTAAAACTGACAACAAGTACGACTTTTACTCCATATCTGATAGCAGAAAATGTCTGCAATTTCATCTGCTTAGTATCAAGTATAGTATGAACTACAGATGATGCTTCAATCCACAAAATGACTGTTGAGATACTTCTTCAAAGAAACACACTTCTCATGGGCTAATACAAATATAACTGCAGATTGAGACTCTGTTAACCAAGCCATAGGATACAAAATTTCCCCTTTGGGTATAGAGGAATGCTTCCTTTACAGGAGAGCCTCAACTGCTAGCATCTACAAAGAGCGCTTGCTATGTGACAATTATAAATGGATGAGTCTTGTAAGCATATTACAGATGATTGCCCGAGTAGTCAAGATTTTTAATGCTTAAGAAGTAGCAATAATTTTCAAATATTTTTTCTTCAATTTGAAACAAAACTACTTTTTTCAAATTTCACAATGGAGCATTGGTCAAACGCCCAAGTAGCAACCCAATTCATGATTCAGCAAAGAAGAAATCAAGGATTATTTATGTCTATTTCACAAGCTAATATGACCACGACTTGTTTCAACAAAGAAGTAAGGAATCAAAAAATAATATTTATGTCTATTTCAAAAGCTAATATGACCATGACTTGTTCACCCCAACAATCATTTTGGAAGCTAGAAGCAAGGCTCAATTTGGAGATAACCAGAAATAGAGTTCTATATATTGATCAAGGGAACAAC